GGAATACCAGAAACCATGAAACTAATGGAGTGATGCATCCAGCGGAGATCAGAAAAGCCCTGGAGAGAGAGACAGAGGTAGGCACCAGAAAAGAAATTGATGTTACAGATCTAGCACCGAGCAACATGATGGCATCACCAGAAAATGGTGGCATCCCTGTAGCATCAGGAATTATCCATCCACATGTATAGCTTGGCGATATGTGTTCTCTCTATGTGTTCTCCACGTATGCCCTGGCCACACGTGTTGGGTATATCCTCATGAACAATATCTATCTATGTCCATTCTTCCTCCCAACCAGTACGTCAGTGGCAAAGTATGTCCTAGGTTTCCTGGAAGACTCTTTTATTGCTGCTTTTCTTATAATAGTTTCATTAAATATCTTTGTTTTGAGAAAAAAAATAAATACTGGTTTTCTTCCTGTTCTGCCTTGGAGAGGTTGTCAAGAGAGGTGGCATCTTTATGAGAACACTCGGTTTCAATGAGCAGAAGATGGAAAGAACAGGAGAAGGAGAAATGTAGAATTCAGGGAAATTTGTAAACAGTAGAGAAGGAAACCAGAGTACAATGGAAAGGGGATGACTGTGTGAGAAGTAGCAGGGGAAAAGACTTTCAAATGGAAAGGGAGGCAATCAGCCCTAAGAGAGGGAGTCCAAGCATGGATGGATTAGTTATAATCATTGGGAGAGAAGGGTACCCTGGCCCCTCCTTCCCTTCTTCCTCTTGCCTTTGCCACTGACGTTCTATCACCTCCCCCAGCTTCCTTTCACCAAAATCCTATGGCAATAGTGCCTGACGAAGGACAGTGAAGCTTCAGGTATGAAGACTGCAGTCTCTAGACTGCACCAGGGAAGAAGTAGAGCTCCTTGCAGAAATCAGCTCCTGGACAAGTCCCTGACTGCCCTACCCTAGTTACAACTCTGGAAAGGCAGACTTGTATACCCTGTCTACTTCCTGATGCACTGAAAATGAGCCTGAGAGTGTAGAATGGTAGAATGAGCTTTGACTAGAGTGCCCAGGAGGATGAATCTTAAATCAGTTGTAGAAAGGGTGTTCTGGTGGGGAAAAGATCATTCCTCTCAGGCCGACTAGAGAGTTGGATGCCCTGAGCCTAGACAAGATCATGGGGCCAAGCTAAGCCCCAGGTGTTGTGGCGAGTTGAAAGTCTACAGTAAATCTGCTCTTATCCAGCCCTACGTCTAGTGTTGAGGGCATGGGGAGGGAGGAAATGAGAAGAGGAAGCTACCTGGGGCTCTGGAATGTAACACAGCAAGGCAGGACTGCATCTGAACCAATCAACCACTAGAGCTGGCCCTTAACAAATCAGCTTGTTCAAGGTCAACTGTTTCCTCACGAGTAGCTCTGAGAATGGCTCTGACCTCAGACCTGACCGCTCTTCCTGCCCTTCTAACCAAGGACTCCTCTCATCCTTTGAAACTCTTGCCTTTTTCATTGGGAAAGGGGATGGCTGAAAGTTGTTAAGAGGCAGGTTTTTGCCTCCACGTAAGAAAAACTTGCTAACAAGGAGAACTGTCCAAAATAATAAGTTGCCTCAGGAAGTAGTGAGTTTCCCTTCACTGGAGGCTGTCAAGTAGAGACTGCATTACTCCCTGCTGAGAATGCTATAAAGGAGATTCTTGTTCTGCTAGGGATGGGACCGAGGCGCCTGCGAGGTCTCTTCTATCTCTGAGGTTTGGGAACTCTTTGAAAAAGGCCCAGGGATTCCTCCGGCATCTCCCTAAAACCTGAAGTCACAGCCCAGAAATCAGGCTTGTTTGAAGATCATGAGACCTCTGGTTTATGCAATTAGGCAGCCCCCATCTAATGTTTGTACTGCAGACACCCGAAGGGCGACAACTTGATCAGATTTGTCAACAAATATTCCCAGTGTCACTGAGCAGCCTCCTGCAGCTCTGGGTGGAAAATAGGACAGTATTCTGCCTTTTCCTCAAATTACACAGACCCTACCTTCTCAGACTCAGGCTCCCAGAGCAATTGAGAGGACTGAATTTGATTCTTTAATAAGGTGTATACACACACACACACACACAACTTGTATGTAAGTGCTTTGCAAGCAAAACGCTATATAAATGCTAGCTATTTTTTTAAACAAAAATGTGTTGGGTTTCTTTTTTATCCCTATAGAAATTTCCAGATTAGGGGTCAGGACACCTAGTTTTGAGTACTGGTTCAGCCATTGATTTTCTGTGAGACCTTGGCCAGGTCCCTTCAGTGACCCTATCTATAAAAATAGGGGGGTTGGATGAGATGACCTCGTAGATCTGTTTCATCTCTCAATCTGTGATCTTGGGATGACTAAGTCCTCTTCCAGCTCTTCCATGCTCTGCCTTCCTGGAGGAGGAAGGCTTTAAGGGAGATGGGCTGTGGGGGAGGAATAGGGCTCTAAACCCAAAGTATTCCTAGTCCCTGGGGTAGAAGGGATTGAGCACTGAATTTAGAGCTGGGAGACCAAAGTTTGTCCAGCTCTGAACTAATTCATTGGACTAATTTGTGGACAAGTCACTTTTACCTCTCTGGGCCCCGGTTTTTTCATTTGTAAAATAAAGGGATTGGAGTACAAAACTTAGAGCTGTGACTTCAGCTCTTAAGTTCTAGGTTCCTTCAAGCTGAAGAGGCTGGCAGGGTCGGAGGAGAGTAGAGAGATGGACCAAAGACTGGGAGCTGGAAATTGGGGAGTCTGAGGTCCTACCCCAGGCCAAGGGACTGGTCACCCTGGGGCTGTCATTCTGCAGGGGCATCAAGTGACAGAACCCTTCTTCCAGGTTGGGAACAGAGCTAGGGTGAGAGAAGTCCCCAATAAGGCAGATGGTAGACAGGGTAGGTGGGGTTTAGCCCAGCATGGAAGGGGGTGGACACCAGTGAAACTGGATACCCATGCCAGACAAGGGATCAGGGCTCAGAAATGAAGGGTGCAGGGAATGACTTACACAAGAGGCTTACTGTTCCAGAATAATGAAAAGTTTATGTGTTACACAGGAGCAGGGGTCAAGTAACAACCTTGCCCTCACCCTGAGAGAAGCTGCTCAGGACCCTGGAATACAGCCTCTTCAGTTCTGAGGTCCTATGCCAGGTTCCCATTCAGGATCACCGGGGTTTGACTTCTTTGTTTGACAGACTTGTGAAATCAACTGGGAATGAAAGTGGAAGTGGGGACTTTATTCTAACAATGTGACCCGAAGGAAGGAAAGCTATTAGGCCTGTTAGAAGCTAAGTGGAAAAGTACCTGCAAAGTTGGGTTGTTTTTATTTCCCTCACTGAGGTCTGTTCCCACTCGGTGGAGAAGTATAGGAGGATTGGGACCGAGGCTGAGGGCTTTCTCATCATTTCAAAATGAAATGCTGTCTAGCAGGGCCTGATACAGGACATCTTTAAGAAAGAAATTGAAGCTGGGGGAAGGTGATTCCTTGGAAATAAAACACTAAGCAGAAAAGTGAAACTTAAAGTGGGACTACCACACTTGTTGGAGGGGGGAGATGGGGAAGAGCAGTCCAGGACCTTCCATGGCGGGTGGGGGGGGGGGTGGGATTTAGGCCTCTCTAGACAGTTGATTGACTGATAACCTGCTAGCAGCCACACAGCTTCCCAACCACTAATTTGGTTTATCAAAGCCAGAGACTTGGGCTAATGAGGAAGGGGGGAAAAAAGAAGAGAGAAAGAGCTGACCAGGGGCATCTCTGATGTCTTAAATCTTTCTTGCTATACTCTTAGCTCCTTTGTGGTTTCAGCAGAGCAAGACTGGTCACATGGAGTCTCCAGTAGGTCTCCAGCTCTCTGTCCCTTCGACTGGGGGGTGGGGCGGCAGGGAACTCGGGGCCTCCAAAGAGCAGCAGATGGGCCAGGCTGGGCCACGTGTCTGAGAAATGATAGCATCTTCTGCCCTGGGCTTCCCTCAGCAGCTGCTCTTAAACCTCCCCCCGACAATAACATCCCCAGGAGGAGGAGGGGATAGGAAAGCGGCAAAACGACCTCCTGGGATGGAAGAGGAGGGAATAACAGCCAATGACCCCTCCGCCCCATCCCCCACAGCGGTCACCTTTGTCAGCCCCAAACCCGCCCCGCAATCCATTCCATTCTCTCCTCTTTATTCTCCGCAGCCTCAACATCTGCCCAGGGAGCCTGGCCCCTCACTGACCCGCTCCCCCTCCCTTCCTCTCCCTCCTCCCCCTCCTCCCCTCCCCCTCCCTCCGAGCTGGAGGGGCTTTAGGCACTCCTTATGGCTCCCGGGCAGCTGAAGGTCTAGGTCACCTCAGAGCTGGAGCCAGGAAGACCAGAGGACAAGGGAGGGGAAGAGGAGGGGGGCGAGAAAGGAAGGGAAACGATAAAGAAGAGGGGAGGAGGCAGCGTAAGGGCTCGAGGGACAGGGAGGGTGAAGGGGAGGAGTAAGGGGGATAGGGGCTAGAGGCTGGAGATAGAGAGGAGTGAGGGAAAGAAATAAGGGGGATAGCTGGAGAATAGGGACGGGTGGGGAGAAGGGGGAGGAGTAAGGAGGATTAGGGAAGGAAGATGAGGATGGAGAGGGAGAAAGAGGGAGGAGGAGAGGAAGAGGGGAATGGAGGAGAGAGGGGGGGAGGACAAGAAGGAAAAGGAGGAGGAAGAGGAGGACAGAGACCGAAGGGGTCCCGTAGGGAGCAGGAGGAGGGAGAGTGGGGAATAGAAGGGCGGGAGCTGACGCGTTGCTCCAGCCCCCCGCCCTCGCCTCTACATCTGAGTTAAAAGCTCGGTTGGTCTCTTCGCCACCGCCCCCCCCCCCCTTGCAGGACCAGAAGCGGGGCCACCTCTGGCTGGGACCCGCTCCTACCGCCCCCGGTGCCCGGTGCCCGCCTTCAATGCCCAGCAGCACTCTCATTCCTTCTGTGGCAGCGGCATTCGGGGCTGGCCTGGAGGCTGGGGAGCTCCCGCCTCCCGCGGCACAGACTCGGAGCCTATAACCTAGCAGAGCAAAGGAGCGGAGTCGGCGGGGATACGGAGCTCCCGGGACTAGCTCCCCGAAGCCCAAGTTTGCGCTCCTGCAGCCGCTGCCACTGCCGAAGCCCACCTTGTCTTCCGCTGCCTAGAGGTTCCGACACCCTGAGACGCTGGCCCCTACCTGGGCAGGGTTTTGGGAGGAGGACACTAGCTTCCCTCCCTAGCAGTTGTCCCAGTCCCTCGAGACCTGGGGTCCCGGAGAAAATCTGAGCATTGAACGCCGAGGCAGATGATCTTGAGTCCGTACACTCACACCTGAAGGTGGTCTGCTGTGACCTAAGAAATTCCTTGGCTGCTGCCCCAGAGACATCAGGGAAAGATCAGTCACGATTTCAGACCCTGCTGCGGTCCCTGCTGAGTTGGGGTTCGGCACTCCCGGAGTCTGGCGCTGACCAGGCTAAGGTGGTCACCTGACCTTCCACCTCCACGGAAGCCTGGAAGCTTTGTCCCTGGGACCCTCCAGTAGCCGGGGCTAGAATGGGATCAATAGCTCCGGTCTTCCCTTCTCTAAGCCCTGAATCTACCTCCCCCTCTCCGACTTCTGAATCTATTCCTCAGTTTCCCCACCTGGTTTCAGGAGAGTGCTGATGAGCCCCCAGAGACAGGTGGCAAGGGTTGAACCTGAAAACATTCCTAAGTAATCCATTCTGGTCCCTTTTACCTTCCTGTTTCTCAAAGGCTAGGCTCCCTGCTGGGAGAAATTAGGAAGAGAATACATGGCCAAGTGGCTGAAGGACTACCTGACCTTTGGTGGTCGAAGACCCCCCCCACAACCCCCCAAACCTGATTATACAGAGAGTGACATCTTCCGTGCCTATCGGGTTCAGAAGAGTCTGGACTTTGAGGATCCTTATGAGGATGGAGATGGGCAGGAGGAGCCAGACTTGACCTGCCCCAGTTGCCCCAGCAAGCCTTCCTGCCCTGGGGACTACCAATATGGTTCTCCCAAACACAGGCTCATCAAAGTGGAGTCAGGGGACCTGAACCGCAGTAAAATGTTGCTGGGAGCTCCTGGGGAAGATAAGGTAAGTACCCTGGGTTTGAGGGGAGTGGGGGTGGGGAGGAGGAATTTAGCCCCTTAGGTGCTGAGCCCTACCCCAGTTAGAATGACCCCAGCCTAGACCAGTGTGCTTCGGTGACCTCAGCAAAGTCACTGTCTGTATTCTGCCCAAGGTCAAAGGTACTGGGTTGAAGAGCAGGCCAGAAAATATGGATAACAATAACTTACCTTCCTCTAGCCAAAGCCCTTTCCAAGAAACAATCCTTTGAGTTAGATAGCATAAATTGTATTAAACCCATTTTACAGGTGAAGGAACAGGTTAAGACTTGTCCATTATCATATAACTATTAAAGACATGAGCTGGAATTTGAATTGGGTTTTTCTAACTCTAAATCCTGCATTGAGAAAAATATGTCTATCAATCATTCTGCTTGAAATAGGAAAGAAAGTGAAGTTGTCTGGTGGTGCCTCCAGGAGCTGAGAAAGGCTGCCTGGGAGTAGTGGGTGTAAAGGAGGAAGCCCCAGGAAGAGCAGCATCAGATCTGTCAGGGCCAGGAAAGGGTGTCTGTGGTTGTGGGAGCCTGAAAGGGGATGAAGGATCGGTGATTAAATAGGGAAGATGGTCAGGGCTGGATGGAGAGAATGAGGGAGACAGGCTGTGACTGCTGGTAGAAGGGAAAGGACAGAGGAATCAATCTGAGGTGAGGGATAAATGAGCTTTGAAGGAGAACATCGGGACTAGAATGGCAATGGATCACCGAACGTCAGAATTGGGGCTTTAGAATGCAGAATATTTGAGTCAGAAAGGACCTTAGAGCAGAGAACGTCAGAGCTGGGAGGGATCATAGAACATAGAATGGCAGAAATGAAAGGTCAGTACAACAGAATGAATGGATTGGAAAGGACTTTAATGTCCAAGTTGAAAGAAAGCTTAAAACACAGACCATAATGCTAGAAAGACCCCAATGGACCACACAACAAAAATGATGAAAGAGACCTTTCACCGGGGCAGAAGGGCTGAGAGGGGGGAGAGGGAGTATTTGAGACAGGTGTTGGAGAACCACCCTGAGTCCCTTGTCCTCACCTAGACAGCAGATGACAGTGAGTATTCGGATCCCTTTGACACCCAGCCTGAAGCCCAGTCGGGTGCCTCAGAGCAGCTGCCTGCTGACAACAGCTACATGGAGCCTTATGATGCCCAGTGTGTGGTAACAGGTGAGTGTCATTGCATCGGAGTGGGTGGGTAATGCCTGCTTCTGCCTGGCCTTAAGGGGCCCTCCCCAAGTACTCTGTCCTTGAAGTCAAGTCCCTACTGACATTTCTAATCCCTACCCCCCTCCCAGGACCAGGAAGGAAGCACTCGGCCTTTTATTCTCTTTCTACAACTGGGGTGGGGAAGCTACTGCCTCAAAGCCACATGTGGCCCTCTAGGTCCTCAAGTGCAACCCTTTGACTGAATCCAAACTTCACAGAACAAATCCCCTTAATAAAAGGATATGTTCTGTAAAACATGGACTCAGTCAAAGGGCTACACCCAGGGACCTAGAAGGCCACCTGTGGCCTGCAGGTTCCCCACTCCTTACAACTTCTCCCTTTGTGATCTCATCTACTTCTGTGGCTTTAATTATCTCCTCTATGTGAGTGACCCCCAAACCTTACTCTCCAGGCCAGCCTGATCTGCCTCCTAAATGCCAGTTCCATATTTCCCAGAAGCACAGAATTTCAGGTAGAAGGTACGTCCAAGGTGATGGGAACAAAAAACCTCTTTACAACTTCCTGGAATGTCTTTGCTGGAAGATCTCCCAAGAAGGGGAACCCGCTGCCTCCTGGGGCGGCCCATTCTGCTTTTGAATGAATCGAAAACTAGAAAACTTTTCCTGGCATCAAGCCTAATTCAGCCTCTTTGAATCTCCCACCCGTTGCTCCTAATTCTATCTCCTGGGGCAAGGAAAACAAATCTAATCCTCTTTCACACGAAGGCCTTTCAAATACTTGAAGTTATCATCTTCACCTCCCCTCTACCCCAACCAGGTCTACCCTGGAAAAATTCCTTCAAGTGATTTATCATACAAGGCAGCTGGGTAGCAAAGTGGGTCAAGCATTGAACTTTGAGTCAGGAAGACCTGAGTTCAAATACTGATTCAGATACTAGCTATGAGATCCTAGGCAAGTCATTTACCCTCCCCTCTGTTTCTTCCCCTGTTAAATGGGAATAAGAATTGCCCCCACCTCACAGGGGAGCTGTGTGAGGATCAAACGACATCATATATGTAAAACAATTTGCAGACCCTGAAGCACTGTACAAATGTGAGATTAGTCGCCATCCTTCTTCCCAAAATGCTTCAGCTGATCAATGTTCTTCCTCAAATATGGTACCCAGAACTGAATAGAGTACTCCAGAGGAGAACCAACCAGGGCACAGTACAGTGGGCCTGTCGATTCCCTGATCCTGGACACTGTAGCTCTCTTAAGGTAGCCCGAGACTGCATTGTGGGTTTTTTTGGATAGCCATGTCACAATGATACATACTGAGCTCTTGTGGTCCTCTGAAGCTCTCAGATCTTTTTCAGTTGACCTACTGCCTAACTTTGCCTCCTCCACCTTGCATCATGAAATTGATTGTTTGATCCCAAGTGTAAGACTTAATATCTATCTTTATCAACTCTTACCTTCTGAGACAGAGCCCACCACTGAAGCTTTTTGAATCCTATTTGAATCTATCATTCATGTTAGCTATGCTTTCCCAGTTTAGTGCCATCTGCAAATCTGATAAGCGTGCCATCTCTATGTGTTAAACAGTACAAGACCAAGCCCAAATCTCAGGGTGCTCTACTAGAGACTTCCTTCTATATCATCAAACTGTTAATTATTACTCTCTTGGTCTGGCTGGCCGTTTGACCAATTCTCAAATCCATGTAGCTGTCCCGTTTAGAAAACTCTTCCTTTTTCTTCCTCGTTGGAATTGTTTCACTTTATGTCTTCAGAATTTCATTCTTGGGGCATCTAGGTGGTGCAGTGGATAGAGCACAGGTCCTGAAGTCAGGAGGACCCGAGTTCAAATCCAGCCTGAGACCAAACACTTGACATTTACTAGCTATGTGACCCTGGGCAAGTCACTTAACCCCAATTGCTAAAAAAAAAAAAAAAAAAAAAAAAGAATTTCAGTCTTGGCGCTTCCCACCCCTCCTGGACTGACGTCTCAGCTAGAATTTTAGTCCCTGGGATTCGATGTCTCCTTTTTGTAAATGCTGTCTTGCTGGATGTCCTAACAACTAATCCCTGAACATGTCCAAAACAGAACTCATCATTATCCTCTTTGTGCCCGCCTCCCCTCAAGAAAGAACCTTCCTCTCCTACCAGCTTTCCTGTTTATATTAGTGATACCATCAACCACCCTGTATTTCCTGCTCACAACCTCAAAGTCACCTGGCTCTTCCCCCTCCCTTAGCTTCCACTCTCAGTTAGATGCCAACTCTAAGCCATTCTACCTCTGCATTTCTCAAGGTCTCCCCCTTTCCTTGCTGACAAAGCCACCAACAGACTATTGCAATTGCCTTCCATTTGGCCTCTTCCTGATTGATTCATCTCTCCCCTCTCCAATTCAATATACAGCTGCCAAAGCGATGCTCATGAGACAGATCATGTCATCTCTCATTCGAAAACTTTCCATGGTTCCCTATTGTCTCTAGGATAAAGTACAGATTAATTACTTAGCCTGGCATTTAAGGCCTTGTATAATCTGACCTCAGCCTACCTTTCTAGCCTTCTTATTTTCCTTCTCCCATTGTACGTTCCAGCCATTCTGTACTTACTCTCTATTACCAATTCTTGTCCTATTTTCACGCTTCTCCAGGAATTCACTCAGGCAATGACCTGAGTCCCCCGTGAGACGGGGACACACTCTGTCTCTTGAATGTGGAAATCTTTCTCTTTCTTTAAAGCTCATCTCTGATTCCACCCCAATCATGACGCTCTTTCCTACTCTAAAGTTGTGTCCTTACCTCTTTCCAATATGCCATGTTCCTGTCCCCACCCCCAAGCTGACGATGTTGCTGCTTTCTTCCAATATGTCTAGAGACCTCTGTTTGTAGTATTTTCACTTTGACCTGGAAGCTTTGGATTTTGGTCATGATAGTCCTGGGAATTTTCATTTTTGGGGTTTCTTTCAGGAGGCAGTTGGTAGAGTCTTCCTGTTTTCACTTTGCCCTCTTGTCCTAATATGTCTGGGCAGTTTTCTTTCATGATTTCTTGACATACGTTAACTAGGCTCACTTTTTGGTCATAGCTTTCAGGTAGTCCAGTGATTCTTAAATGCTCACTCCTTGATTTGTTTTGCAGATTTGTTTTTCATATGAGATCCCCTACATTTTCAGATTTTGTCGGTCTTTTAATTTTGTTTTAGTATTACTTGTCTCATGAAGCTTTTAACTTCTGTTTGGTCCATTCTCATTTTCAAGAAATCTGTTGCTTGGGTAAAGTTTTATACTTGTCTTGTTAAACTGTTAATTCTCTTTCCAGATCTCCCCTCCGAAGCTCTCATTTCTTTCCCAATCTTTCCCTTATTGCTCTCATTTTTCACGTAATTTTAAACTTTTAAAAAATATTTTTTCCATTTCTTTTAGGAATCCTAATTGATCTTGTGGTCAAGCTTTGTTTTTCTTTTAGGCTTAATTGATATTTTGAAGTTATTCTCTTCTGGGTTTGTATCTTGGACATCCCTGGCGCCAATAATGGTTCTTTATCTTTGTTTGCTTATTCTTTCACTCTTACTTTCTGGATTGACATTTTGTGTTATGACAAAACTCTGGGCACTTCTGGCAGGATGGTTGTGGCCTTGTACGGTCCAGGTCTGTCTTATCTGGACTCTTGCTGCTATATTCTTTGGGCATTGAATGCCTTGTTCTTCAAGGATCATAGAGGATGCTGGAGCCAGGAAGCTGCAGACTTCCAGTAGACCCCAGGTGATCCTATCATGGGTATGGTCTGATTACTGCCCTCCTGGGCTTTCCAGGTTCCGGACCTTGAGTTGAGTCTAGACCACACAGCTGTAAACTTGTTCCTGGGCAGTACTCCAGTAGACTGTACTTGGCCCCAGCTCCTATAGGCTACCTAAAAGGTCAGCAGGTACAGGGTGATTCTGCTGCTGCTTAGCCTCATTCTGGTTCTGCTCTGGGAGAGGTGGGCTACTAACCTAGTTTGCAGCCCCAGGGACTGAATACTCCATCAGTCCCTTCTGGGAGACCCCATGCCTTCGGACCAGGGATGTCTTCCACCTGTTCTAAGTCCAAAAACTTCTCTGTGCTGCTCCCCTAGCTCAGTTAAACTTATGGTTGAGAGCAGAATCAGTGCACAGCCCTGCCCTGCCCTGCTGCCTGAGCTCCAGAGGTCTGAGGCCAAGGTTCTAGCCTTTCTGGGTGACCCGTTAAGGCTGACCTGGGCCTGGGGTGAGTCCGTGATTTGTTCTGTTATTGACCTGAGGCTGAAAACCCTGAAATCTGTTCTGGGTGGCTCTGCCTGTTCAGAGCCCTGAGGACTGAATCTGCTGCATCTGCAACCCAAGGCCACCTCTGTACCATAGTTCTTGACCTGGTCATTTGCCTATGGGTCCAATTTGTGATCTTGGGCTGAAAGGATGGTTTGCTGTGGTTGCTCCTTAGATTCCCTGATCATTTCCAGGCCTGGGGGTCTTCTTAGGTCTTTGTTGGCATAGGTGAGGGGGAAGTGGAGCTGTCTTGCTTCCTCCTACTCTGCATCTTGACTAGTCCCCCCCAAAACCCTGTGTCTAGAACTTTCCCCCACCCCTGTCACTCCCTACCTTGCCAACATGGCATATCCCTACTATTAGACTGTAAACTCCTTGAGGACAAGGATTGTGTTATTTTTCATCTTTGTGTCCCCAGGCACCTTAAGTGTAGAGGGACAAAAATAGGTACTGGACCTATGATTTCATAGGTAACTCCAAGATGAGGAAATTCCCTCTGCCCATTCAGATTGGCACCTTTTCTGCAAGTCTTAGACAGTTGCTTAGAGCAAGTTAAATGATCTGCCCAGGGTCACATAGCCAGTATGCATTAGGGGTGAGATCTGAACTCAAGCCTTCCTGACTTTATGACCAGCTCTCTACTCACTGGGCAACACTGCCTCTCAAATATAGTATATATTTATATACTGTATATATATAATATGGTAGGCGATCAATAAATGTCTGTTGAATTAAACCAGACATAATTACCCACCAGACCTGCAGCTCTATGACACACCCTATGAGGAGCAGATGGCAGGGGGCAGCCCTGAGGCTGAGGAGAGGCCCCAGCACAGCCGCCTGCCCCGGGATGATGAGCGGCCTGCTGAAGAGTATGACCAACCCTGGGAATGGAAGAAATACCACATCTCCAGGGCGTTTGCAGGTATTGGCCCCTGGTTCCCTGAGGCCTCTGACCAATCCTGGTCTTATTGGCCATCCCACTTTGAACCTCTTCTCCTAGTCTCCCTTCCCTCCACCCTCCTTCTGCCAACCCCCTTCCTTGCTTAATGCTGGAGAAGCGTGTCAACCCTTTCCCCTGCAGACCTTTCTCTCTGTTAACTCCCCTATGTGCTGACTCTGCCCCATCCTCCATTCTGATATCTGTCCAGGCTGAATCTTCCCCCACTGTGATTGGTCACTCATCATACTGGTTTCATTTTTAATATGTGGAAGCCTTATTCCTCTTAAGCCCTGAGAGCATCCTCCAATTCCCACTTCTCCTCTCCCCTAAGCTCCCCTCTCTGGATCCAGTGGCCAATCGCTGTTTTTCGCCTTCAGAAAGACCAGTTGGCTAAGTAAAAGCATCCTTTGCTTTCTCTCTGCCTGATCCAGTGCAGTTTGAGAATCCTGAGTGGGAGCGAGCCCCAAGCCTGACTAAGGAGCTCCGGAGGCCCCTAGCTAAGACCTCAGGCTGGGCGGGGAAGGGGCCCAACCCGGAGAAGCACAGCCCCCAGCCAGCTGAGCGTGTGGATCCAGCCCTGCCCCTGGAGAAGCAGCCGTGAGTGTTGAGACCTAGCCAGGGCAAGGTGGGGAAGAGGTGGAGAATTCAAGGCTCACTTCAAATGTAGCCCCTTTCAGGAAATCCTTCCCGATTTCCCTCTCCTAGGCAGAAATGACCCCCAGCAGCACTTGGCTTTGATAGGCCCTCTCCAGAGTAATAGTCTCTCAGTGCTGTAAGGGCCCATAGGGATTAAATCCCTCTCCCTTGGGTGTTTTGCTGGTGCAAGGAGGGGAAGGTACATGCCCAAGGTCACATGCCAAATTAGAAAGAGAGCCGGGATAAGGACTCATAGTCTAGTGCCTTGAATCTCAAAATGCAAGTACAGGAGGGGAAGTGGAGAGCCTGTTCCACCTCTGAGGGTGAGGTCCTGGCCACCTCCCTTCATTCCCTGATTCTTTCTGTCCCCCATCAGGTGGTTCCACGGCTCCCTAAGCCGGGCTGAGGCTGAGAGCCTCCTGTCCCTCTGCAGGGAAGGCAGCTACCTTGTCAGGCAGAGTGAGACCAGTCATCCAGACTTCTCTCTGTCCCTCAGGTGAGCCCTGGGCGCTAGGACAAGGGTCAGACTGCAGTGGGAAGGGAGACCTGGAAGAGGTCACAATGCCCTCCTGGGAACCTGGGAGAAGACTTTGGGTTGGGGGGAGGGACTCCCTTTGGACAGTATGAGTCACCGTGGCCAAAAAGTAGCCACCAGACAGGTAAGGCATCTCTCTGTCCTTCGGCAGGCTGGTTTGTCACTGGGTTCCTATTCTGAGCCTTTCCAGCCCGATAGGAAAATTCAGAGGCCCCACCAGGGGGCAGAGAGAATAATGATAATATCTGCTATACTTCTCTATAGCAGCATCTTCTGCTTAGTTTGTTTCTCTGTAGAATGGGGATAGCAGTAGGTGCTTTGAGAGCCAGGCCATGGAGGCCATCTGAGCCTTTTGTACACGTCCCCCCAAAAGGGGAGAGAGAGTCACATCCTTGAGCCAGGAGTCACAAAGGTTGGGTGAGAGCCTTGGTTCTGCCCCTAACTCACTGTGACTGTATCTCAATGACTGACTGACTGATATTAGCTGAGTCCCTTCCCCTCTCTGGGCCCTGCCAGAGCTTGGATTCTCTCCTTTTTTTTCCTTGGCTCTAGACCCCCACCCTGGGCCCTTTCCCTGACTGTAGGGCCTCCTCTTCATTCCTAGGAGCAGCCAGGGCTACATGCATATGAAATTCACCCGGACAAAGGAGAATAAGTTTGTGCTGGGTCAGCACAGTGGGGTCTTCTCCAGTGTGCCCGAGGTTGTACATCACTACAGCATCCGCCCGCTGCCTGTGCAAGGCACTGAACACCTGGCGCTGCTCCACCCCATCACTGTGCAGATCCCCTGACTGCCTTTGCAATAGCACCCAAGGGTCATCCCTGCGGCCTCATGCCCAGTTGTCTCTCCTGGGCTGTCGCTGATGTCTGGCCATGGTACTCCCATCCCAGGCAGGATCTCCAAGCTGGAAGAGACCTCAGACCATCTGGTCCAACCTCTCCTCAGCGACATCGCTGACTGGTATCCAGCCAATTCTTGAAAACCTCCAGTAATGGGAAGCTGACCACCTCCTGAAATGTCCCTTTTCACTTCTGGATGGTTTTTGTTGTAATCTAATTGAAATCTGTCTCTCAGAAGCTTCTCTCCATCACTCCTAGTTCTGGACTTAGAGACCAATAGAAAACCAGTCTCATCTGTCTCTCATGTGTGAGTCCTTCAAATGCTTGAACAATGGCTGTCCAAGTTCTATTGTCCAGAGTCAGCATCTACGTGTCCTTCAACCGGTCATCCCATGTCAGATCTCAAGGCCCATCTCTGTCCTGGTCACCCTCCTGGACTAGCTCCAGTTTGTCACTGTCCTCCCTGTAATGGGGCCCCCAAGCCAGAGGCCAACATTACTGATGAGATCTGATCAGGACACTCACTTCCCTAGTTCTGGACTTGGTGCTGCTCAATAAAGGTCAAAGGTCAACTTGGCTACAAGGTTACTCTGTCCTGTTAACTTATATTGAGCTCCCCCAGGATTCATTGAGTTCCCATTTCAGTTCCTGGGCCAGCCCCCTAGAAAAAAAAAAGGTATCCCTGGCTAAAATAAAGACACGGGACCCTACCTCAGCCCTAGGGTTGCCCCTAGACATGATACCGCCATCCAAGATAGACCTGGGCTCTGCCCTTGGACACAGAAGAGTCTGCTCTAGGCTGGACACAGTTTACCCGGAGAAGTTACAAAGGGTGAGTGGAAACTCAGGCTTGCCCCTCTTCCCCTATCACTTCCCATCCCAGACTAGAGGAAGCCAGTGGTGCAGATGGGCAGCCTTGTTCTCTGGGCCTGAGTTTTCAGACCCCAAGAGTTTTTCCCACTCTCTCCCACCCAATAAATAAGTTATATCTGACTCCTGCGTACTGTCATGGGGAAGAAGTGGAAGACAAGAGCTTCTGCTGGGTGGGAGCGAGGTTGGCCCTCCCTACTGGCAGGTGGGAGCCTTTTCAATCGTGCCCTGCCTTGGTTGCTAGCATAGGCAAGGCACTTGGTGGGCAGGGTGGTGGGGGACAGGGTGGATCTCTGTGGCCAAGTTGGGATGTGCATGGCTCAGCCACTGCTTCCTTAATCTCCCATCCGTTATGTGGGAGGGTGTCCCACAGTTCACTCTATTGGAAGGTAGAGAAACTAGGTGATAGTCTGGGGCAACGAAACTGCTGAGTGGGAGGGCAGAGACATGGGCTGTAGCCTCAGCTCTGCCCTTTTCTTGCTGTGTAACTGGGCAAGCCCCTTCCCTCTTCTAGACCCCAATCTCCTTGTTCGTAAAATAAAAATACTAATGAGGTGATTTTATTTTAGAGACATGGAGCATAGCATGTTGAGCACAAGAAAGTCTGTAGAGGTCTTCTAATTCGATTCTCTCATTTTACAGATAGAGAAACTGAGGTTGAGGAAAGGGAAGTAATTTGTCCAATGTCACACAGGGACTAGGGATCAAAAAGCCAAGAGTAGAATTTGGGGTCTCGTGGGTTGGGGTGGGGAGAAGGGAGGTCATCAAGAATTGGGGTGTAAAGGCCTGAAGTTGGTGGAGGGTTCCCGGAGCCTACTCACCTTCCCCAGGCCTCTTGGTCTGCTCTTCTTTAGTTCCCTTCAGGTCCCGTCAGCTCTGCCAGCCTTCACAGATGTCTGTGTCTCTGACAGCATCAGAGAGGACATCTATCTCCATGGAAACAGGAGTGGGAAGACTGCTCTCAGTTGGTGACACTTCAAGGTGACAGGCAGAGGATGGAGGCAGAAAGGGCTCCATCCTATGGGAGTTTTCAGACCAGGCTGTAGGCAGAAAGGGGGCAGGGAGAAGTGGAGTATTCTGGCCACCTGCCTGTGCTCCTCTGGTCTCCTCTCTTCTTCCATCTCTGCTCCGAGGGAGGGGGTTAAGAAACAGCTACAGGAGACTGACAGTGTGTGTGTGTGTGTGTGTGTGTGTGTGTGTGTGTGTGTGTGTGTG